CGATCAATCTCAGATCAAAGTTCGATCGATCCAACATGATCGATCTCAGCACTTCAAGATGGATCAGAGCCATGATGACATTTTCAGAGATCTAAAAAGTTTGATCGATCCAATATGATTCTTCGATCTATCGAACTACCTTGTCCTTATCAAAATGATTGATCTTATCTAGTTGTACCACCCTACCAACCACTTTTGTCCTTTTCCCAAAAATATCTTCAAAATATCTCAGATTTGTCTTTATCCAAAAAGCACCGCCATTGAGGATCGATCCAACTTCAGTTCGATAGATCTCAGCCATGTTCGATCGATCCAAGTCCAAGGTTCGATCAATCTGACTTCCTCCAGTGCGAAAAAGTTAAATCTCCAGCTCACAAAAAGTTTTCCTTTATCCAATCATTGGGGAGTATTTTGTGCACGACCCCAGCTCATTTTGTGTGTCATTTGACCTACCTATATAAGGATAAAGATTACTTTTCACATCATAACACATCATATCACATCATATCATCTCATACCTTGAAAGAACTCTTGGAGAGCAAGCTTAGAGGAGGAGGAGGCTAGAGACACCATTGGAGACTCTTCATCAACCAAAGAGCAAATCTCTACCATGGAGTTAGCCCTTGATGGTTGGAGAAGCACTACCATGAATGGCTAGACATCCTCTTGGGGCTAGAGTTAACCCCAAGCATGCTTTCTACATCTTGATTTTGTGTATTATTGAGAGATTAATGTTGTAATACATGTTTTGGCGCTTTTATATATATATAGATCTTGTTTATTCAATGATTTATATGGTTTAATACTTCCAATTGATCATTTCATTCTATCCATATGTCTATGTATGCTAGAATAGATGTTTATGTGTTTGTCTCTATTTCTTGTGTTATTGGTGCACGTCTATGTGTATTAATGCCATAGATTTAGAGATTGTCAAAACATTGTGCTTAAAGGAATGCTCTTGTAATTTTCTAGATGGTTCACGCTCATTTCTTGATGGATTGTGCCTCTCCCTTAGCTTAATTAGTTTAATTTTATGTCATTAGCTTAATTGTAGTGTAGTGGTAGCATAGTTGTTAGATGGGAGGACAATCCATGCTTGTTGTTTGATGTTCCATACTTTTGAATGCAAGTAACATATGTCTCTAACCTTGTGGTGTATTTGGCTTGTGAGCTTAGTGAAAGGATTAATGACTTGCTAGATATATTGTGCTTTTCATATGCTATTTAGACAATATATACTTAATTGTTAGATATATTGTGTTTTTCACATATTGATTAGACAATATATACTTAATTGGTCACCATTGCTAGTTGAATTAACCAAACACACACACACATTAATATTGCAACACACATTTCCCTCATTAGTCACTTGTTAAGGGTGTAGAAAAGTATTGTTTGGTGGTGACCTCTAAACCCCAAGTTCTCTCTCTCTTATTTACTCTTTATTGCATTCAATTATTTAGTTTAATTTGCTCTCTAGTTTAATCAACCAATCAACCATTTGTTTAATCACTCGACCTACTAACCCTAATAGCAATTCCACAACCAAATTCAACTCCAATCCCTTGGGACGATCCTTACTCTCCCTAACTATATTTTTAGTGAAGGTAGTAGTGGCTTCTATAAATGTAAAACTTGGCCCTCGCCTTAATTGCACTCTCTTAAGCTTGTGGTGCGATGACACACCACATACTCTCTTGTTGTGATGGTGTCATCCTAGGGATGCTTGAGGGGAGATCATTTGGCGGTAGCTTGTTGAGTTGGTGGGATGTGAGTTCGAGTTGTCATTCGAGGATAATGGTAGTAGAGGAGTTATGGCGGGATGTTTTGCACTGATGAACATAATGGTTTAAGGTATGATCTGAGTGTGGTTTGGAGAGTATGAGTAATTTGTTGTGTGTTGTTACGTGGGTGATGGGATTGTGCGCTAGTTAAGGCTATTATGGACGGTTTAATCTCTAGAGCCAGTAAGGGCGATGTTGCCTTATAGGCACCTTTTTTCTTTTAACGAGTCAGTGGGTTGTTGAGACTAAGGTCACGAGTCTTGTATGCATGGTGATCGAGGAAGTATCACCTGGGAAGGTAGAGATAGAATGGGTGGTTTAGTGTCGTGCTAGAGCATAGAGGTTGTCATTTGGGAGTAACGGGTCCCAGATGGAACGGGACGTGGTGTCCAAAGGGCTGTGATTGTTTCTAGTGTTGGTATGCCGTGAACGTTAAGGCTCTTGTTTGATTGGTCATATTATGGGATATACCCTGGTACTAGACGAATGGGTGGTATTGATCTGATTGGTGTTGGCTAGCATGGGTATTGTGGTATAGCGTATATGAGGTTCCGGTGTTAATAGTGTATGACGGTCCGTTAGTGGTGAGATCATCTAGATGAGTTCGTACACCGTTAGTGGTGAGATCATCTAGATTTGAGTTCGTAGTCCGGTACGAGTATCCGGTTGGTTCTCCTCCTTGTGCGTAAAAAGTTCATTTCATCTCTGGTGAGATTGGCTATCCACAGTTGGATGACTAGTGAGTAGCATGTGACAGGGTGTCGGGTGTATTTAGGTGCAAGTCGTTAATCTCTTGTGAGAGCGAGGTTCGTTATCCTTTCTGTTTTTTCTAGTCCTGACATCGTTGGTTGGGGTTCTTGTTCTCCATTTAGGAGTTGTGCATGTTCACAGGTGGGCAAACCCGTGTTTGGTTTGTTATCCTGTTAGAGTTCACCGGCAAAGGTTTGGTTGAATGGGTTGACTCATTCCCACGGAGGAGGTGGAGTCTTTGGTTTTAGTGGTGCTTATTTTGAGAGTGGTTTCGACCGGTAGTGTGCGAGGCACGAGTTGCCAAATAGGAATTGTATGTTTCTGGTGTCTGGTGCTAGCAGTGATGGCTAGGGGTATGTCATGAACTATAAGATTGGGGATGGTTAGGTGATGTGATGTGAGTCATGTACTTGAATGTTTTTATAGAAGTCCGATTTGAGCAGTGTCTTGAGGACAAGTGTCCATGTCACCTCAGAACTACGTGATTAGAGAAAATGAATATGGGATTCTGTTGAGGAAAAATGGGAATGATTGATTTTGGTTTTGAGATTTCAGGCATGAGATGAGATAATCGTATTGTGTGTTTCACGAGGTCAGAATTGAATCAAATAATGTTAGGGAGTTGTCTACCTGGTATGGGTGTTATGATAGATTGGTTTATGCGGGTCAATGATTGTGATATTTGGTGCCATGTTGCTTTTAGTTTGTTATGGTTGTGTGATTAAGGTATGATTGGGATATTTAGAGCAAGTATGTGACTATATAATTGTTAAGGATTATGTAGAGTAATGAATTATTAGTGAGTGGATCTCATGGTTGTCTTGTGGACTGTATGAGATTGTATTTGAGGTTTGAACCTGAGGACAGGAACGATGTCTATGTTGAGACCGGATTGATGATGAGAATGGCCCAGCCAACCATTTCTCCTGAATCAGTCCCTCTTTAGCACAATGTCGGGTCAAAGGTCAATGATTGTTTTGATTTGTCAGGGTTAGTGAGAGCATGGTATTGTACGTTGTGTCGGTGTAACAGTGTGGATTTGGATGATTTGTCTCGGTGACGAGGTTTGTTAGGTAGGACCAAGTGTCTGTTAAGAGTTTGTGGTATGATCATTGATTATTGAAGATCTTGTTTTGAGAGTTTGTGTCCTGGGTACAGGATAGTATGTTTTATTATTCTGGTGACTCGTGATTATGTAGTCATTGGGAGAATTATTATTTAGTCATCTTGAAATTGTTAAGTATCATGATTGCCGAATGGTGTGGGTGGTGGTCACTTGTACCGATATGTGATGGTATAGCTATGTGTTAGATAGCGAGTGAGTGGTCTAAGAGAGATCTGTGGATTTGGGTTTGAGTTTAATTATGTGTTGGACGGGATTCCTTGTATGGGGTTTAGTGTGTCCTTTAAAGGATGAGTTGTGACTAGATGTCGTCTTGTTCAGTAGTCTTATGACCATTCTTTTTCTGGCTCTGAAGCCTTGCGTAGCGGTATAGAGTGGACCGGTGTCGATTTTGAGTCGGATGTAGAATCCAGTTGGTTTTGTGTTTTGATATTGTGAATGATGGGTACCCTCATAGGGTAGTGAACATTACATTTTTGTGGTAGTGGTGTGTGATTGCTTGTTGAAGTCTGGTGTTAAAGGTAGTAAGCACTACGAAAAATTAGGTTTTTAGTTACGACCAAATCTGTCCCTAAAAACCCTAAAACCGTCCCTAATAATCAAATATGACCGTCCCTAATAGTTGTGTCACAAATGATTTTTAGGGACGGTAAAAATTTTCCATCCCTAATAAAATCGACCTTTAGGGACGGACTTACTGTCCCGAAAAGGTCCATCCCACTTTCATTTATTAGGGACGGACTTACTATCACTAATAAGACCGTCCCCCTTTGATTTATTAGGGACGGTGTTTACTGTCCCTAATAGTTGATATATTAGGGACGAACTTACTGTCCCTAAAAAAATATCTGCAAAACAAAATATATGTACTTGATGCATAGGCTCTCTCTTTTTTTGGTAGGGAGGGGGGAAGTGGTAAAATATCATTAAAAGGCGCCAAAACAAGGGTACGACCCATATAAACAGGAGGTACACAAGAAGGAAAACAAAAAAATATGCATAATCACGATAGATCCATGACGGAGAGCATTAGAACTAAATATCTAGGTAATACAAACTTATAGAGCATTAAAATCCAGAAATTGATAAATAAACAAATAAAATAAAACATAATAAGAGCATTAAAATCCAGAAATTGATAAATAAACAAATAAAATAAAACATAATAAGAGCATTAAAATCCAGAAATTGATAAGTAAACAAATAAAATAAAACATAATAAGAGCATTAGAACTAATTATCTAGGTAATATAAACTTATAGAGCATTAAAATCTAGAAATTGATAAATAAACAAATAAAATAAAACATAATAAGAGGAGTAAGAAATATATCATACCTAAAATTCTGATCAAACTCAATCTTGGGTGAACAGCTAGTGGATATGACCTGCAATAAGTATATAATGGCACCAATTATCAGCTCTGAACAAGATCTTGTGCAGGAGATATTCTATGTTTTGGAAGCGAACTAATACAACCTTCAAATGGGACCCTGGCTAAATTGTTAGCATCAGAACTTCACTAACAAGTCAACTGCAAGGCTTATTCTGGTTTATGAAGGGTCGCTTTCTAGAGCATTCATAAAATTTCCTTCCTTTCACTAACAAAGGGATTGTAAGGGCCTATTTGATTTATTTTTTAAGTCACTTCTCTTAAATTTTTTCCTAATAAAAATAAAAACTATACAATCACTTTAATATTTTTTATTGCGACCAGAAACTGAAAGACAAGATATAGAGAATATCATTCAGATGTAATAGTAGTGCCGGTATTTTTAAAACTTGACTTCCTAAACAATTCTCAAGATTTGCCTAAGGTTATGGCTTTAAAATGGAAAAGAAAATAGGATTTATGTAACCAAACCTAAATAGTTGAAATAGACTTTGTTGAGTCGAGTATGATTATTTTACACCAAATCATCCAAACACCAAAATAACAATAAATAAAAATGAAGCACTAAATAGTTGTAGTGAAAAAAAAAAAAAGAAAAAAAATATATCAATTCTGATCAAACTCATTCTTGAAATCTGTACGAAACAGTGATGAAACCACAAAATATATGTCTGAGGTGGAGGAGACCTTGAATAACAATAAGATATAAAAAAGATTCATATAACTATAATAGGGGGCTATATTAAAAATTCTTTTTGGACATAAATGAAATATATGGCAAGATGCCATCACTCTGCTGTGTTTTGCTTGATACTTGCAATTAGCAAACTTGTCCATGGACCACCAGCAATCTAGGCTACTCTGTTTGTATATAATTCCCTATTTTCTGAACATAGTGGGAAGGAACACAAATATTTTGCTAAGCCAGCATACCAAATAAAATTTAAGATAAGTTTCCCTCATCAATAAAGAACATTGCATAACCCATTAAGTGCATACAAACGGTATGGATATGTAAAAATAATTACAAAACAAAGGTGACAAAGGATAAAATAAGTATACTTTTAAATTGTGGTACCAGGTAATGTAACAAAAATCTAATGGAATCAGAAATATCAGCCAAAGTATGCTTCAAATCAGTTACTATAGCCGTGAAGTTTTTTAATCAATAGTAAATCAATCAAACTTAAGCAATTAATGATGTATTAGATAGATTATAAATAAATTTTAATCAATTTGAACATTTGGTTATAACTGTATGAGGCTACCTGCCTGATTCATAAATTAGAGTTTGGGTTTATTAAAGAGAGAAGAGTGATGTAGATAAAAGTTATTGCACTTGGGTAACACAAAAAAGTCCCTAATAAAGGTCTCAACAACTCCCTACTGAGATTCTTCTTGGGTTTTGGGGGATCATAGGACACAAAGGTGAGAACTATAGTTGTGAAACAGGTTCAGGGGTAGTAATGGCAAGGATTAGTCAATTTTGGGTCAGATCATAATTGGATTGAGTTGAACTTAGAATGAGAAGTTAATATTGTTAACTCAAGACTCATCTAGCCATCAAGTTTGTTGAGTTTTGAACAGATTCAAGTTTATACAGAAATATACTTAGTTAAAAATGGTTTTATTATTATCATTATTATTATTAACAGTGATCAAATATCCTTGAAGAAAATAAATTTAGATCTACCAAATGAGAAGCATCGAAAGAGAAGATTGAAACTTACTTTGAGATAGCCCTATAGCTGCGGACTTAAACTTTCCAGAATCAATGGGGGTGTACTTATCACGGCGCATATCATTCGCAGTCGAGGCTAAAACTGAGTTTTCTGAATTGGGCAACATCCATCTGCATGTTATATGTGTTAATTGATCAAAAGCAATGTAACAAACAACTACTGAGGGAAAAGTTTAGTTTCGAATGAATTCTTCCATACACAAATATTTTGCTGAAAATATAATTCCCTATTTTCTGGACATAGTGGGAAGGAACACAAATATTTTGCTGAGCCAGCATATATATATGTTATCAATTTTTCACTGAAAAATCTCCTATATTGCGCATGAATTAATGGAATCACCACTTGGATCAGAATGTTCTGCAATATAACTAAAATAAATGAACATGCTTGGAAGGAGAGGTTCAAAACTACTAAGCTGATTGAAATGGTCAATAATGCGCAATTTGTCAGAGCAGAGGACAAGGTTCAACAAGTAATACATATTGAAGTTAATTTAAAACACTAATAATAATAATAATAATAACAATAAAGAAACACCTATAGATATATAGATAACATGTATTAAAATGGAAATTAAGTATATCGATAGCACAACCCACTATAATACATAACATATATGACTGATTAGTCTCCAGAGCTAAATCCCCTAAACTTTAAACAAAAAAGGTAAGCTTATGCAGTGTTTAAAGTAGAGTTAACTTGACAATGCATATACATTAACACAAGCAATTTGATTGCATATCCAAAATAAAAAAATAAATTAAAAAAAAATCCAAAATACACTTCAACTCAAGAATACCACTCATTTTTCACTTTCAATTGAGAGGTCTTAAGCAATGTTGATGTGAGAGTTGGACCCATTGCCAACATTCACTTTACCAAGCATTCACAAGTTCACATTCCCACCATAATTAATAATCATCTCATGCCACTTTCAGATTGCACATGAAAGCAAAATCCATTTATCAAAGTGGTATATAAAACTGTAATATATCAAAATCACTAACTGTAAACACAGCAAATTACCATCAAAGAATATACTAATCAAGTTGGGTGTGAATCAAATGGTAATATGGTATTGAAAACAGGTTCATCATCATCAGTATGTAATTTTGATACAATAAAAATGATAAGCCCACATCTTTCTATCATGGGGACAAAAACCACGAAAATTTGTACTAAAATATTTCTCTTTGCACATCTAACACTTTACCACTAAAAATTATATCCCAAACGAAGCCTACTCCCCCATTAAAATCTATCAACAGAAACACAACAGCTCCATTGAATAATCAGAAATGACAACCCTAAATCTGATAAACAATATAATTTTTTTTTTTTTTTTGAAAATTCCAAAATTCAGGAGGAATAATAATCAACAGATTGTTAAAAAAAGGTAATACCTGGGACGAAGGTGCAAAGATAGAGCCGAAAATCCCAGAAGATGAAGAAGCAAATGAGTCCTTTGAACCAAAAAGATAGAAAGTTCAAACAACTTGTATGATTTCCAACAGCGATTCAGACTCAGACGACAAGCCTTTTCCAGATTTGTAGTTTACCCCTTTTTGCAATTTCGAAACCCTAGAAAAAACTAAGGTGAGGATCATGAAAAATGACAAATAGGAAAAGTACAAATGAACTTTTGCTTGGCTCTACTGAGATTAGGAGGTTGGCTTGGCTGGAAATGGAAGAAACCTTCCAAAAGTTACTATTAGGTCGTAGAGCAAAGCGACGTTGAGAAGAACAGAAGAGGTGAAGAACTGAAGAGCTTTGTGAGTTGTGACGGTGGAAGAGGTTTGCAAATGATACTAACTGTTTTTAGATTAAAAACGACGTAGTGTGATGGGCTTCCCTATGTTGTAAAATAAAATAATTTTATATTATTTCATTTTTGCGCCAAACAAAAGAAAATGAAGCGCTAAAGTTTGGCGCTTTTTTTTTTTTGGGCATTGGGGACGGTCCTCAATAGACTGTGCCAAAAAAAACTTTTTTAGGGACAATTTTTAGGGATTTGGTGACATATTAGGTTGACTGTCCCTTAAAGCCTGGTATTAGGGACGGTAAAATTTGCCCGTCCCTAATAATAAAACCTTTAGGGATGGGTTTTAGTGCGTCACTAAAAGAGTGTCCCTAATACCCTAATTTCTTGTAATGAAAGTTAGCGAACTTATAGTCTTGTGATCTTATGAGGTGTTTCTCGAAAGGGAGTGTGACTATGGGCCTCCTTCTTTAAGGAGGGTAGATTTCGAAGACGAAATCTTTTTAAGAAGGGTAGAATGTAATGTTTCCAAATTTTGTCATTTTCTATTTTCTGGAATTTTTTGATTTTTTTTCAAGGGTATTTTTATTTTTTCTCGTATTACGTGCCAGACACCGTGGGGTGTGTCGGGTGTGTCAGAATGTTGATTAGAACATTTTCTTGAGTTCAGAACTTTTGAAAATGCATCGGTTACTATTTCGGCATGTTTCTGTTTTTCGGACCGAGAAGTCCCAGGTGGGACCTGTTACCGGAATCGCTGTGCATGGGGATTTTATTTTAGGTACATGACATTTCAACCATTATTTTTTGATACATGTTTATGTGGTTTTATGTTTAAAGGTGTGGTGGTAAAGTATTTAATGAATATATATATATATATATATATATATATATATATATATATATATATAATGTTAAAAATATTATTTTATGTTGTGGGACCCACCACTAATTAGTCACTTTAATGGCCATAAGGCCATTTGCCTAACTATCATTCTTTTCCTCTCTCCCAGCGACGTCACTCTCTCCCTCAGTTTTTTTTTTTTTTTTTTCCTTTTCATTTGGCGACTTCAATTTTTCCTCCATTTTTACACCAATCGGTCGGGCTTTCGGTCTTAGTTCCTTGACGGAAAATGTTCATCTCATCATTCTCTATTACATAGTCAAATGGTTTTAATTTTTTGAGAAGTGGTGATTATTTTATGAATTTTTGAAGTTTTTGTATTTAAGGCTTCGGAGGGGGTTTTGGGCCACTTAGAGTAGGATTTCGGAGTTGGGCCTTTAGAACAGTAGAATCTCCTCATCGACGGCTACGTTCCCACTAAATAGTTTTCTGTTCTGCCATCATTGACCGACGTTGACTTTTGTTGACCGGCATTGACTTTTCTGACCAGGGATGTATTTTGACTACTTTTGAGGTAGTGATGTCTAAACCGTCATGTTTTAACTTTAGTTTAGTTCGTTTATTTGATTTCTTGCTAACAATGCTTAAAATGATAAATGTCGGGATTGAATGTTGATAATGTATTTATTTGTTTATGTGACGAAGCATGACTTAAATGATATTAATTTCGTAAATTTATATATCTGCTTAGCTGTAAAGTTGTTTAATGAACATGCCTTGCGTTGAATTTATTTCTTGAGATTACATCTATATGATGATGAATATGTAAAGTTGTTTGCATCGCTTTCATTCATGCATGATTCCATTCATGGCATGGGCATGAGCTGTGACAACCCAGATTTTTAAGGTTGAAATTATATTTATTTTATAATTTTTAGTTGTCAAAATTGAGTTTAATTTTAAATTGGAGACTTACCAATTGAGAGATTTAAATTAGTTTGATTTGATTTTGTTACATTATATATATATACATACATATATATATATATATATATATATATATATATATATACATATATTGTATGCTTGGTGGAGCTACTTGCCGAAAAAAGAAAGGAAGCAATGAGCAGGTGGACGAAATTTGGCGAATCAATTGAAGAGGAATGAGCAGTAGCCGAATTAGAAGGAACCAAAATGGGAATTATGATGCGGGACCCACGAGAGGAATTATTGGGTTTTGATTTTTTTTTTTTTTTTTGTAGATATATGATTTATATGTATATATATATATATTTGGTCAATCTAATATTGGATAAGAGGTGGCTGCCGACCTTTTTGTGGAAGAGAGAAAAAGGAAAAATAAAGACTGGAAATGAAAGATAAGAAATGGTAAGGTGATGTGATAGAGGTAGGGACCATTAAGAGATATTTTTGCAATTTATTTCTTTGGTTTGAGTACTCACGTGGCTTTGTAGGAGAAGAATAGGCAAGATGGCTGAATGCAATAATGAGAAAGGAAAGGTGAGAAAAGGGTGATAAGGAAGAAAATTGGTGGCGGGCCCATGGCCTTTGATCATTGTTTGATATTTTTGGTGAGCTGTTTGCACTGTGTCGGCACAAATGGCTTATTTATTGGGTGTTTGAGGTATTCATAGACAGTATGAGAAAATTAAGGAAACAGAGAAGGATAAAGATAGAGAAAATAGAGAATGATGAGATTTTATGAGCACAGAGAAGTGCACAGAGCCGAGAGCATGGTGATAAACAGACAGGGAGAGGTCCGAGAGTTACAGAGGAGGCCGGAAGGTTGAGGCTTTGATGATCTAGTGAGGAAAATTCTTTTTTCAAGGTAGAGATGTTCTAATGCATAAATTCTTGTATTTGTGAGTTTTCCTTCTTAATTCAATGTCAAGCATGCTCCATTTGTATAATCTTTGCAAGGATTGTTTAGATGTTGGATATGGAACACACGACTACTTGTTAATTGTTGTGTAGTGATTATATATTCCTATATGAAATTAAATTCGTGTCTTAAATGTTTACCATGTTAACAATTTTAATGTTGAGTTGATGATTTGAAACATGGAGCATTCTTGCATCCATTGGGAAGAGAAAAGGGAAAAATGTTTTCAAAACAATTGAAATAAATTTTTGGGAAAGTATTTCTAAAAGTGTTTGTGAAAATCGGATGCCTAGGAGGCGCCTAGTGGTCCGTGTTGTTAGTGTAGTCTGGAAGGGAGTATGGTTAAGCTAACTAGGCCGGATGTGACGGCTTGGAGGTGCCTTGTGGTCGTGGATAGTTAGTCAACCCTCCATTCGTGACGCCTTGAAGGTGCCTTGTGGTCGTGGATAGTTAGTCAACCCTCCATTCGTGACACCTTGGAGGTGCCTTGGGTCGGATTACACTAATGGTTTGGAAGTTGAAACGGAAATGTTTCGAAAATGGGGAACGACATTTGCATAACGTTGCACTTCATGACATTGTGGGAAATTTATAATTGGTTGACATTTGCTACATATTAGTTGTTGTGGTTGAGAATATGTATTCCCCATGGTATGACCTCGTTCCTTTTTACCCGTTCCTTATGTGGATTCACGAGGTCATAAGAAGTGTGTCTTAGACACTTCCTACTGAGCTTATGCTCACCCCATTATTTTTAATATTTTTTCAGGATACGGAAAAGAGATAGCGGATGACGATCCACCACAAGTTTAGATGAGATTGAAGATCTATTTTATTTTGCTATCTTTTGTATTAGAACTCTAATATTTTGTAAATCTAATCTTAAACTATTTTGTGAAACTTTAGTTTAATTGGTATAATGTTGTAAGCTGTGGACTTTAAAATTTTAGCTACATTTATGGACTGTAACTTAATGTAACTAAGGTGTGTTCCTTGTTTGGATAAGATAGAGGAATGGGACTTTTTATATGAATGTATTCATTTTGGGAATGTGATATAATAATTGTGTTGTGCGTTGGGACAGGATATGTTAGTTTTTAAGGCCCAGTAAGGCCATTGCATTTTTTATGTATTTCAACAGGTTGTAGAGGGATTTTTTTTGCGGAGGTCATGCTGAAATTTTATATATTTTATTATTATTATTTTGGTATTTTTTTGGGTCGTTACAAATTTGGTATCAGAGCAATGGTTCGAATACCATTAGGATGACAGGTAGAGGCCTACCTAGGGTTATGTGGGAAGTCATTTGCATTATTTATGTGACTATTTGCTAAAGTGTTTTGTTGTTTGAAAAACATGCTTAACTGTCTACTTGTTTACATGTTTATGTGTTTACGATTTTAAAAGACATGCTTCTTTGCTATGTGTTTACACGTTTATATGTTTATATGCTAAATTTTTGTTACATGGCCATGTACGTGGAATAATTAGATGATCTAACCGTGTAAATGGAAAAAAAAAAAAAAAAAAAAAAAAAAAAAAGCATGTTGGTTGTGTATGAGGAATATGGGGACGAAAAGTGGTAGGCACGGTGTGTGCAGTTCTAATTTAAATGCTAATGTAACGAGTAATGAGCATGGTATATGCAAACATGTTTTGTGCAACATTGTGGGTTTCATTCATTTTGTATATGTATATGTCTATATTCTTATGTGGTTATGCGGCTAAGCATTGGGATGGTTGTTAGTATAGTAGAGTACTTGTTGCGGCATATCTAGTTGTATGAGTTTTGACCTAAGTAAGTGAAGAGCTCGGTTGCTCCAGGGTTGTTTGGGTGCCGGTCCTTGTCGATCTAATGGCGTGGGCTTCTAGCTCATGGATTGAGCTATTTGGCGTGTAGTCATCTTGATCTTCTTAGTTACATTTTGTGCGGTACTTAGAGTACGACTTTAGAACGGGTTCATATTTTCATTTTTCATGGCAAGGTGCCCTTGTTGTGTGTGAGTTTCATGTATTAGTGTATGAGTTCTGGTGACCGTGGAGGTCATATGACCTTAGGAGGTCAGTGTTTTTGCGACATAAGTCACGGTTTGGTGTGGAGGTTCTTTTCGAACTGGTCGTGGTAGGTGTGACAGGGGTTGTTTGAGTCGCGAATGTAGTCTATGGATTGTAAATGTATATTTCGAGCATTTTGGAACAGCTTAAGGAAGTGTGTTGGCTTTGACTATCGTGGAAACTTGTTGGATTATGTAGGTTTATGGTGATTTAGGACCGGTTACCAGATGTAGATCATTTCATGGTCTTGTAAGAGTTTGTTTTAGAA